TTCGTCATTTCAAACATAATTAAGAGCGAACAATTCAGACTACGTCATGCATCTCTAATCACTGACACTTTGGAACGTAGGCCCTCGATCCCCTTTCCATTTTTTTTTTAATCTAAGATCGAAACATTTTTTTTCTGTGCACGTTTTCTAATATGCACTATACGAGGAGTGATCAGAAGTTCGCGAACTATCTCTATATTTACAAAACTACAATTCAGATCATGTGAAAAATTAAATCTCAATTAAAGCAAAAATTTCTTTGATATTTCATTAATATTAAAGTGTACTTTATGTAAAAATCTCCACAATTTGCAAAAATCTCACGAAGATTAAAATTATTTGCCTATGAAATAGCACACACACACACTAAAGAGGACAAAAAGGATCATTTTCTCATATTATAACACAATTTTTCGATATGAGTGGGTCTTCGCTCCATATTTTTCAAAGTTTATCCTCAAAGTTTGCATAAAAATATACATATTTTTGTCAACAAAAACATGGAGCAAAGACCCACAATACCTTAAAACTAAACTTTTATGATACAACATTCGCATCTTTTCGAGAAATAAGTCAAGGGTCATATCACAAACATGATTTAAATGCCACAATTCTTCAATAGCTGTGTAGCGTAGTGGTTAGAGTGTTAGTCTCGTAGGAAAATGATACTCAGAATTTTTTATTGCAAGGGGTTCGAACCTCACGAATACCACTTAATTTTTTTAATAACAGAATAATTTTTGCAGAGAAAATTTTACTCAAAAAAGCTTTGTTTATCATAATTTCATAAACAATAACTTTACCCTAAAAAATAAATTCACAAATTGATTATGATTTTTTTTTATACGAGGGTCGTTCAATAAATAATGCAAAAGGTCATCTAAAAATAGGAAAAGCATGTTAAGCAGATTCTTAATACTTTCAATCCCTCAAAGCATTCCCTGTTAGCATTTACACAAGTCTTTGTACCGATGACCAGAAAACCTCAGCATACTCATCTTAAGGGATGCCCTAAAGACACTGATAAATAGCACTTTTCATGATATACCTTAAATTGTAAAATCTTCCTTTGATTGCTTTCATGCGTTTTAGGAAGAAAAAGATCTCACAATGGCTGAGATCTAGCGAATATGGGGGATGCCCAAGCTCTGTAAACTTTCCTTTCTTCAAAATTTTATTTATTTCTCTATGCTTATTTGCAGCATCGTTTTCAGGTGCAGAAAAAAATACTTAATGGACCGTTTTTTTTGGCTCGCTTTGCAGGAAATCTGCTTAGTTTCCTTGAGTGAAATTTTAACATAAAAGTTACATTGATAGTCCTTCCTTTGGCTGTATGTACATGTATGTTTTACTGGACATCTTGAATAAAAAGAAAATTAATAAAACATATTTGGAGCCCTTGCTTCTCTTTGCAGTAATAGGACGACAGCTTTCTCTTTTATTCCACATTTTATTCTTGATCTTCCTTTTTGGTTTTACCTTTAAAACGTACACCCATGTTTCGTCATCCATCACTCAAGTTTATCAAATCTTTAATAGACCATTGGGACATTTAAAGTGTGTTTTCTCTTAGGCATTTGTAAAGAAATAAGGCACCCATCTGATATATAGAATTATTGTTAGATTTCTTTCATTTGTTAAAACTCTATAAACTGTTATGACGATGAAATATTTCGTGTTTTAGCAAAGTCTAGCAATGGAAATTTGTCATGTTCAGATATCATGTTGCTCACAGCATCGATATTTTTGGGTGCTCCTACAGATTTCGACCGACCAGCTTGACTGCGATCTTTTACTTTTTTACAAAAGCATGGGATTTTCTGTGATTAAGAGTTCTTTATATAACTTTTCAACTGTTAAAAAGTAAAATTAAATACTTCTACATTTATTATGATAAACTGTATGTTGCATTACTTATTGAATGACCCTCGTATCTGAAGCTCTAGGCATTCTGCGCGCCTTGTTCACCAATTTCCTTTCATATCTTGTGATTGGTCATCTAAGTAATTTGTTGAAAATCACTCTGATCTACATATAAGTACTCTGAGGTTGATATTAAAATAATGCTGGAGTTCCTCATTAACAAGGTCTACGTAGTCTTTGGAGACCATGCAGGTCTTCTAACGATCTGTTGGAAATTTAATGGGCACTGATTGTGCTCCTTTATTAGCCGACCTGTTTTTTATATTCCTATGAAGCAGAATTTAGTTAAAAACTTGTACATGAGGAGAAGACAACGCTTTCTGGGGCCTTCAGCTATATTGACGACATTTTATCAATTCGCAATAGTTACTTCCATTCATATATCGACTTCATATATTCCAGTCAACTCGAAATGATAGACACTACAGAGTCTGCTATATCTATTTCATATTTGAATGTTTAACTGACTATAGACGATAGTGGCTAACTAACAACTGAATGTATGACAAACGATAGTCCTGCTTACGTAGATTTTAAAAGTAGGAAATTAAAAATATAAATCTGATACTTTTCAAATGATTATGTGAATTTCACACATTGTGTTCTTCAGGGATAAAAATTACCTAGTTAATCGAGATTACTTCGGCTTTTCCATCATCAACTTTCCTTATTTATGTAGTAATATTCCAATATCACTTGCATATGGTGTGTATGTCTCCAGCTTATTTGATACTTAGAGCATGCTCTGAGTACGATCAATTTTTAAACTGAGGCAGGACACTGACAAATTAGATAATGTTAAAGGGATTTCAACAGCCTCGTTTAAATTCAGCATTTCGTAAAATCTATGGTCGTTATATAATGACTTTTTAGCAAATACAACCTACCATTTGGTGGTATTTTGACTGACATATTTTAAATCAATTGTTAGGCCTTTGTTTTTATAAATTTGTCTACGGATTATTCCATCTACCTGATCAGTATACATAGTGCTCATGGCGGGTGTGACTGGTCGACAGGGGATGCTTACTCCTACCAGGTCCTAGCTGATCTCATCACTGGGATTTGCAGGGGTCCGTGTTTTATGCCCTGTTTACATGCAGATTTGTATTGTTTGTAGGTTTTTTGAGATATTCAGTATTTTATTTCAAAAGTTATGTCCTTATGTTCCTTGGCAGCAATCTTTAGGGCATCATTAGCCTTTGTAACTTTTCTGCATGGTTTGTAACTTTGTCATTTGACATAAAAATATCGTTTGTGTCTTGTATTGATTGCTTCAGGATGGGGCTACCCATACATTGAAGAGAAAAAAAAAACACGGTGAACATATTGCGACAAGAAGGACAAGCAAATTCAAAGAAATGTGGCCCCCGCTTTCGGTGTCTTAGTGTATTTATGGCATATTGTAACTGTCTTGTTTGTATGTCCTGTCTTGTTTAAACCATTGAATTAAAACAATTAATTAAGTTATGACAAAAATAATCTTCTCAAAACTGCCTCAAACTTCAAGATCAAGGACATGAGGTCAAATATTATAATATAATCCGAAAGGTCTTGTCACAAGTAATGCACATGTGGAAAAAAAACCCTGAAAGCCCTGTCTCTTCTGGGCAAAAATTATGGCCAAAGTTAAAATTTTTGATAAGTAGGTCAAAGATCTAGGTCAAGTTTATGAGTCAAAAATGATCTTTTTGAAAGGTGTTGTCATAGGTATTGTACGTGTAAAATATGAAAGCCCTATATTCTTTCATTCAAAAGTTATTGCCAATATATGAAAAAAAATTGAAAAGACTGTAGGTTAAACATCAAGGTCAAGATAAAAAAAAACAGAGTACATTTGGAAAGGTCTTGAAACAGGTAATGCACATGTCAAATATAAATGTCCTATTTTTTTGTCATTCAATTTATCAGCAATGTTAAAAATTTTGAAAATTAGGTCAAACTTCAAGGTGAAGGTCATGGGGTTTAAAATCATAGTGCGTTTGAAGAAATGCCTTGTCACAGGTAATACACATGTCACTCATAAATGCCCTATCTTCGCTCCTTCAAAAGTTATCAGCAATGATAAACTTTTTGAGAACTATTACATCAAACTTGAAGGTCTAAGTCACTGGGTCAAACATCATAGCACATAAATATGGAAACGTCTTGTCACAGGTAATGAACTTGTTAAATATGAACGCCCCATCTCCTCTCATTCAAAAGTTATAACCAATGTTAAAATTTGTGAAAATTAGGTCAAACTTCAAGGGCGAGGTCATGGGGTTAAAAATCATAGCATGTTTGGAAACGTCTTGTCACAGGTAATGCACATATCAAATTTGAAAGCCCTATCTCTTCTCATTCAAAAGTCATGACCAAGGTAAAAGAAATGTAGAAATCTGAAATGTTTGAAAAGTAGATCAAACGTCAAAGTCATGGGGTGAAAAAATCATAGTATATTTGGAAAGGTCTTGTCACAGGTAATGCTCTGTAGCATATTAACATTTAATTTTCCAGCTGCATATAGAATTTAAAGAATGGCGATACTGTGATCATGATATATCAAAGCTCGAGACCTTTCTCCAATGGGATACCTTATGTAATGGGATTTACTACTTTAAAAGTTACTATATTCTGGGGAGGGCTTGTGTCTTAATTTGAACAAGCTTAGTGACGAAAAACAATACAGTATATTGTATGAATTTAATAGCCTATATTATAAGAGGGAACACAAAAATACGTCTGAAGTACTCTGAACCCCCATGAGCAAAAGTTAGGGGGCACAAGTCATCCCTCCCTCCTATGACTACGCCTACACAAGATCAGGTAACACAATAAAATTTTATTAGGAAAGGTCAGTTGGACCAAAATAATATTTATCGGATAAGAGTTATCTTTCTTTTTGCTGTTTTCAATTTTATCAGACCGTGTTTGTTTAGATTTCCCGCCATCTGTCAATAGATCCATTCGGCAAACCTCGGCTGATTCCCTCACCTTCATCAAACATCGTTGGATGAGGTACGAATCGGCCGAGGTGTGCCGAGTGTCAATAGATCATGTGACTTGTTTGTCCAAAATGGTAGACAATGATGAGTTTCATGGACGCTGTAACAGATGAAAATGGAGGAGTGTCGCTCGTCAGAGCCAAGGAAAGGATTTTCGAAATTAAAAAATAAATTTCGTGAGTTGTACACAACCCATTTTTATTTAGTTTAAAGTTGACAGTCTTTATAGCAATATATTGAACCTGCTTATGGATGTCGATTTTAACGTAATCTGGTAGTGTGTATTATTCTATCCCAATATTATTTATAGTTTTCGGGATACTAGTAAATGTTAATCAGGAGTGGCAGCCCGATCCAGATTTGCATTATGGTTATAGTTATTTTAAAATATATTGTTATGTAAAGAAATGAGCTGGACATTCGTTACTCGATTAATAAAAGGAATAACATCAGAGTGGGAGCTGCAAACCGCATTTATAAAATGATTTATCTAACAAGCTTGTGACAACAATTTCTCTTTTTAATTTTTTTTAAGGTAGGGAGGGATTAATTTAAATGCAGCATCCTGACTGTTACATTTTACCAATTAATGCCATGACCGATATGTAGAACATACAAATTGCCTATTTTCACACAATCCGTCCACATTCTAATCTTCATGAAAAAATAAAGTCATTATTTGGGAGGGAAGTCAGCATTTTTAAACTAACAAAGCATCAAAGAATCATTTTACAAAATATCAGATTTTAACCAGGCAAGATGACAATTAAGCAATAGAAATATAGGTAGTGTGTTTGTCTTCGTAATTTGCATTATTGCCTTCAAGTGGAAATGACCCCATAAAAAAATTGTTATATAAAGACAATAAGTAATTAAAATAGATTTAATTTATGTTATTTTTTTTTCTTTAATTTATGTTACGAATGTTTTGCTTCATTAAGTAACAAAGGAATAGAGATTTATGTGTGAGATATTGCTACAAATAAACAGGGCTCGACATTAACGCTTGTCCGCTTGCCCGGTACCAGTGAAAAAAAATTACGGACAAGTGAATATTGCAAGTGCATTTTAATGTAAAGGAGTCTCTATATAATAATAAGAACGACTGTGTAAGATAACCGGTAGTTTCAAGACGGAAGCTGTACATAAAATCCGGACTTCGATCCCGATAGGAATTGCTACTAATTGAGTTCACATTGATTCGGGATTGAAGTTCACTAATTGCACACTACTGAAAAGGCATGGAACTTACGAACTTTTAAAAGGAAGTTTGGTTCACTTGTGGACATTTATGTTGTCAGGACAGAAAGCCTAGATAAAATTTGGTTTTATGTGTTTGTTGTAAATATCAATGACATCACGAATCAATCAAGCACATGTCATGTGTAATGGACTTTATTTTAGTTTTCAAGTTGACATTATTAGATCTTTATTGAAAAATTTTCGGACAAGTGAAGTTGAAGTTCGGACAAGTAAATGTCTTGGTCACTTGTCCGAATGGACAAGTAAGAAAAAAAGTTAATGTCGAGCCCTGATAAATCAAAGTACTGGTACATGTTGTAAAATCAGTTGAATTCACACCAAAAAAATCCTGGACAATTCAATAAAAAAATATTTGAAAGTTGTTAAAGGTAACACATATAATTTAAGTTTTCTGGTGGTGCTTCCTACATCAGATCTACATCAGAAGTTGGTGATGTTAAGATGCTTTCTTGAAAAAACCAATGTTTTCTGCATGGTTCGGTATTGTCCCAACGTGATATTTGCAAGAAAGGAACCATATATGAATTATACTGATAATGTAAATTACATAACGTAAATATCTTTTTATCAGATTAATCGCGGTAAAATGTGTATTTGCACAGATCAATGCTCGTTTTGATATTTTATGTATTTGGTAGGTCTGGAAGAATAAATTAATTAATATGCAAATCAATATTTTTTAATATATATTAAATATATATTAAAATATTTTTATTTACAAATTTAAGCTGGGGAGTGCCTATGGGTTCAAGGTTATTGACATATTTTTTTTTAAAGAGTTGACATTTGTACTCCATAAGAGTACAAAAATAAATACATTTTTAGAAAAATCCAATTTCTTTAGATACCAATGCATAAATTCTTTGAAAATCCCTTATGCCCTTGTGTATTTTGCAAACAAACTAAGAGCATGGTTATGATGAACAATGGTACCTCTTCCAAAATTGCTGGAGGGTTAGGCTGGGTTCAGGTGTTAGGGCAGGGATCTATTGATTATATAGTAGGGATGGCAAAGAATATTCAAACATTCGAATATTCATTCGATGAGTTGATATTTGAATATGAATTTAAAATTAGAATATTCGTTGTTTTTCAGGTTTCATAAAAAAAAGTACTGTGATTAATAAATTCTGGTAAGAACAGTGCTGGAATTATCCCTGTTTAATTTACTATCAATTTCAATCACCTGATTTCTTTCACTACTTTCTTATTTTATAGATCTACTAAATTACATGTACACAAATATTTTGTTTTGAGTAAGGTGTTAATGAATTGTACAATAATGCTTAATGTATAATACAAAACATACTTTCATAGTTTTCATAAGTTAAATACGATCAGATCTAGAATAGAGGACAACAAAATGAAAACCTTCTTCGAATGTCTAAAAAGTGAAGAGTATACATACTTATCTAAACAAATTTAATTGATCATTAAATGAATATCCGATATAGAATTAGTCTGCAATTAATATTGTAAAGGGCTCAATTTCAGAATGAATGTGTAAATTACTTGATTATCTCGGGTTGTACAAAATCCTGCGTTTTATGTTCATTATCGGTAAATTAGTTAATTACCTGGGAAAATTGTCTATGGAAATATTTGATTATATTTTAAAAACATTGTATCAAAGATTATAATCATATCTCTTATTAGGCAGTAATTGTAATTTATTACACGTGTTGAAATCTGAACAGTATATCATTACGACTATCTTGCCTTTGGTAAGACGACTGGTTCCTCAGTTGGAACTACTATATATACACGTTTCATTTGTTAAAATTATACCTTTCTACATTTAAATCAATTATTTATTTCAAATATTGACAAATATCAAATGGAATTTTATTGTACACCTACAAAAGTCTGCGTACAATTTTACTTCCAATATAAGTATACCTATGCTAAACCTTTCATGAAAGTAGGATGATGCATATTTAAAATAAAACAGATTTTATTTATTTTATCGAATATTCGAATGTATTCGAATACTTTCAATGAATATTCGAATATGAATTATTGACAAAATTGACATCCCTATTATATAGTGAAAATTCATTATTCCTTTGAAAATGTTCTTCTCTGCCCCTGTCTCTTTAGCATACTTACTAGGTGCATGGTTATGATAAACTAGGGTGTCTCTTCCAAAATTGTGAAACTTGGCCCCTGGGTCAGGGGTTCTGGTATAAGGGCAGGGCTTTATTGATCATATAGTAAAAATTTATGAATTTTTCAGACATTTTCTTTTCTACCCCTGTGTATTAAGCAGACAAAGTAAGTGTATGGTTATGATGAGCAAGGGTAACTCTTCCAAAATTGTGAAATTTCTGGCCCCTTCATAAGGAATTCTGGTGTTAGGACAGGGCTCTATTGATTGTTCTTGTGAGAAAAGAGTATATTTCTTTGAAAATCTTTTTTGCTTTTGGCATCTAGGAGGCAATCAGAGTACAAAGATGTAATGAGCAAGGGTGTTTTTACTGAATTTGTGAAATTCTGGACTACTGGGTCAAATGTTCTGGTGCTAAGCAGGGCTCTGTTGATCTTGTAAGAAAATTTCTATTCTACGGAGATATTTCTCGTTGTTATTTACAATCTGTCGGTATTTTCATGGGTACCAATTGCGCCCAGTTATTAGCAGACCTATTTTTGTATTCATATGAATAAGAATTTATACAAAAATTTATACATGAGAAGAAGAAGACACTTGCTATGGCCTTCAACTCGACATGTAGATATATGACGAGGTTTATCAATTAACAATACAGTACAATTCGTTTTTTATCATACCGGTTTTATATCATACTTCTTTTTTTATCATAGATATCTGAAACACAAAACCATTTCTTAATAATTCATTATAAATTTCTTCTGTTATTATCATAGGTAAAAGTATACACTTCGCTTACTATCATAGAAAATTTCCGTCCGTAATATTTTTTTCACACCTTTTCACTCTTGGGACAATCACCAAAACAAAAGATAACACCTATCTACACCTGTGGTTCATGCACTGTCGCTTGTCTATACACAATGGCTTGATTTTCACTTTGAAATTTGCCGATAGTGAAAGACTGGGGAGATTAGTCACACTTCAGTGCACTTACCTGAGCGATTGACAGGGAGTCTGTTTATTTCATGAAGTACATGACAGGATAACACGAACTCTTTTTTTCATAACTTATTTTCTTCTTATGTTAATCATGAATTGTACGTTCGTAATAAATACGTTTTACCAAATGTGTTGAAACTAAATTTAGTGTCAATATTAACCCAAGCTTTCTTACGCTTGGTGTCTGGATCAATGTTCATAGTTAATTACATTTACAAAACTACCCGATTAATTAAGAAATAATTAAGTGAAAGTAACTCTTTCACCAGTCTGTCCAAGCGGCTTTGAATGCATATGCTCATCAGTGTATCAATTAATTTTAATTATACGGCAACATTAAGTGTAAATAGGTAATTTTTTTATGTCTACTTTGGATGAATAAAAGAAACAATTTGAATGCATGCTTTGTTGCTGTGTTAATTTATTTAATATGTGACCATATAAAAAAAAAAAAAAGAAAAAAAAAGAAACGAAACATTGGTAATTTGAATTGACCATAAATTGAAAACGAAAGTAGATCAAAATAAACAAGATGGATGCCAAGGGATCTAGACGATTGAGTTTGAAGAGTATTAAGCTTTATTTAAGTGAATTTATTTATAATAAAAAGTTGAAACAGTAAGTAAATGTTGTGAAATGATATGTCAGTTAACTTGTATTTCAAATAAACCTAAAAAATCGAAATTATATGTAACGCAAGATGTATAATACATCCAATAATTTACACAAACGTCGTATCGTCAACCGTCCGACATGAATTTCAGCCGACTATGGTTATTATAAAAGTCGCTTATTATAAAGTTT